CGTGGACCCCGCCGTGGTGCCCACCTTCCAGCTCACCCTGGTGCTCCGGCTGGACTCCCGCCTCTGGCCCAAGATCCAGGGACTCTTCGCCTCGGGGCCGGCCTTCGCGCCGCTGAAGCTGAGCACGGGCTTCAGGGTGATCAAGAAGAAGCTGTACAGCTCCGAGCAGCTGCTCATCGAGGAGTGCTGAGGGGCCGGGCCCGCTTCCCGAGTGCTTTGGAAGAGCCGGTCGGAGCGTGGCGGCGGCTCGGGGCAGCCGCTGTAGTTTAGGTTAGGCTGGAGTAGGGCTGTAGGTGGAAGTAGTTTGGGCAGGTGGAGGTCCCCGTGGGGGCCCTGCCTATGCCGGGACATCCCTGACGTGGAGCGGACCGGGACCCAGGCGGAGGTCGCTTCGCGCTGTCGATGATTGTGGGATGATCCCGGGACGCTCCCGGAGGCGGCAGCGGGGCTGCTGGGGGGGCGGCCGGTCTCCTGATGGCTGATCAATCATGGGGCTCTTCTTTTGTAACCAGGATTGTAATCAATGGGGCTTCAGGGGCGGGGGGGAGTGAGTGATGGCTGAGCCGTGGTCTGGATCAAAGACAAACCCCTCCTTCGGCAGCCGGGCGGGAGGGGGCTCTGGAATTGCGCCGTGTCTTTGATCACGAGAGTGGTGGGAGAGGGGCACGTGAGGTGCCGCGGGGCCGGAGGGCAGGACCCCTGGCCCCGACACTGTGTGGCGCTTCATTGGTTACAGTTTACACTCATACACTTGATGTTCAAGTGCGACAATTCCTATGCAAATCGTGTCGGGTGGTTTTTTACTTTTCTAATAAAAGTTGTCTTGATTGATAACCCGCCATCTCCCTGTTGTCAGTCTGGTCCGGGGAGGGGATGATGCAACCACTGCTCTGAAATCCCCGCTGGCACCCTCGGGAAGGCTTTCCCTGGCAGGGCAGCCCCTGTGGTGGGAGCTGGAGGTTTTGGGAATGGTGGGGAATCCCGGTGCGCCCACTCCTAATTGCAGCCATGGGGCTGTGACTCAGGGGGCTGAGTCAGGGCCCTGAGCCAGCCCAGTGCCTGCTCATGCCTGGGGAGGAGCACCCCAGCATCCCAGCCAGGAGCTGCTGCTCCTCCCCGGGACCTATGGGGGGAAATCTGGGCCGAAAACCAGGAGAACTGGCTAAAATTGTGGGTGAGGGAGGCTGGGGAGGGTCACACCTGCCAGGAGTGAGCATACCCCAACCCCAACCCACTGCCAAGCTGAGACCAATTACACAAACCTGCAATTAGAGGCCTCGGGGGGGGGGAAAAGGCTTTCACTTAAGGGTGATTAAGTCACTTGGCAAACGAGGAGCCCTCCCCTAGGAAGGTGTGGGGGGGATAGAACCAGCCTGAAACACCATTTCCATTTACATACTAGTTTGTTCTGGCTCAGGATTGAGTTGTTGGATTGTTTTGTTTTGTTTTGTTTTATCCCCCTGTGGACAAACAGTGACTTTTCACGGAAAAAAACTCGAGTTTGACACGGACAACCCCCAACTGGAGCGTTTCTCTCTGGTGTAAATACCACCTAGGAGCAGTCAGGGTGGCACAGCTGGAAACAGACCTTTGCACACCCACACTGTGCAAAGGGGGGGCTTTGGAACATTTCTCAAAGGGTCACGTGCCAGAGCATCCCCCCCTCACATGAGGGGCATCCCCCTGCCGGGGTCAGGCAGCGTCCCGTGGGATCATCCAGCACAAATCCATCCCCGGGGGGGTGGAAAAGGAACTCCAAACCCCAAGTTTTTTTGGCAAAACCGTGAGAGGAGCAGGTTTTGGCACTGCCAGCACAGTGTGTTGCTCCCAAGATGATTTATGGCGCGGTGACCGGGCGGTGCAGTCATCCCCTGCTGAGGCACATTGAGACTCGGAGTGATAAATATAGCCCATAAATACATGTATTTTTAAATATCAAGCTCCTAAGCACATGGAGGGGGGTGGCCCTGTGCCTCCTGTGCTTCCAGCAGCAGCGTGACCCCCACTTGTCCCCTACCAGCCACTCCAAGGGAAGACAGGGGACTCCACAGCTTGTTTTTTAAAATTATCATGCCAAGAAAACAGTAAAATCCACCAAAACTCCCCAAAGTGAACACAGAGCAATGGGACAGCCTCTTTGCTGGGGGGTGCCCAGCAAAACCCTCTGTTCAGAAAACACTCTGTGGTCTCAGCCCCAGCTGTGAAGGTGAAGCTTTGCTCTTATTTATAGCAAAACGGCCTTTCCATGGGAAATTTGGGGGCGTAGCAAGGTCCCTGGGGTTGGCAGCTCTCTGCAAGGTGCCAGGAGCTTCCAGCCAGGCTGGATTAAGCGTCTCCCATGGCAGGGGGGTAGGCAAAGGGATATTTTGGGACCGAGGAGGCATCAACAGAGCTATTTGTGGCACCAACATCAGCCTGGGGATCCCAGGTGCCAGCACAGCGGTGGGAGAAGGGAGATTTTGGGGACACAAGCAGCAGTAACGCAAATGAGGATTTAAATCCCACAGTAACGCTAAACCCTCATGTTTTGCTACCAGAAATGACAGTGAGAAGTGGAGTTTGCTCCCTACCTGCCTGCCAGAGGACACTGCTCCCAGAGTACCTGCCTTTGCTGCCTCCTGGTCTTCGGCAGCTGCTCCAATTAAAAGCTTGGGCTAATGAGCTGATGGGCAGCCCAAATCACCTGCAGGTGAGCAGAGACCAACACACACTGAAATTCAGAGCGTCTCCCCTTGCTCTGGACCCAAAATGTAGCAAAACCACCCCAAAAACCGGGCCATGAACGTGCCTGGTTGCAGCCCTGCCAGACTCCCCAGGGGCTGACTCACCACTGCTGGGAATGTGGCACTGAGGGGAAACAGAAGGGACATGACCCTTGGCCTCTGAGAGAAGGGGAAAAAAAGGGAAAAGGGGGAAGTTCCCATCCCAAAACCTCCAGCCCTTGGAGGATGGGGATGCCGTGGGGTCCAGCCTTGAGCTGCCCCAGGGAGGGGGGATGTGGGGAAAAGAGACCCATTTGGGAGCACAGATCCCAAATCCAACTGCAGTTTCCAAGTTGCTGCTGTCAGGATGCACGTCCAACCCAGCCTTTCCAGCCAGGACAAAAGCAGCCCAAGCCTTCCTGCCCACCCTGATGGGGACCACATCCAAAGGGCACCTTCAAATGCTGGGATGGTGCTGCCAGGCCAGTGGCATCCTGGGATGAGAATAAAGCATTCCCCAAAGGAGCGTGGGCAGAGGATGCAGGGGGCTGGCTAATGGGAGGGCAGGAAGGTGAGGTGCCCTCCTGGGAACATCCCAGTGGAACCAGTCTGATGCAAAGATGTCCTGCTGGGCACTTGCTGTCACCTTGCCAGGACCCACAGGGGCACCACCTCTTCTCCATCCCTCTCCCATCCCAGGGAAGGGGAAGCCCCCTCAGCACAGGGGTTTCCCGGGATGGCAATGACCCCAAATTCCATCCACTGCCTGCCTGTGTGAATACAGCGAGGAGCTGGAGCAAGGATGTGCAGGACACCAACACAGCCAGAGCCTTTCACATTATAAACATTTATTTATAGATGTACAATTGTATAATTAATTCTAAATCGAGAGATACAGCCTCTGTGAGCATCCACTGGGATCGACCCCTTCTCGCTCCCTATGATCCGTGGGTATCTACTGGAAGAAAGAACGATCCAAAGGTTTTGGCGGGCAGGCTCCGGGCAGGGAATGCCGTCGGGCATTTCCATTCAACCCCGTCCCCATCATCCCTGTGCCTCCATCAAGTGCCATTTCCAAATGCTGAACTTCCACCCACTTCCTTCTGAAGGTGGAAGAGTCATTTAAAAAAAAATAAAAATAAAAGGATTAAGATCAAAACCCCCTTAAAATCAGGTCCAAGCCACGGTTGGCTGTGGGGTAACAGGGCTTGTGGCCAGTGGGAGGGTGAGATTTCACAAAATAAAATAACAGCTGAAGACAGAGCGAGTGGCTTCCTACGGACAACGGGATAAAACCACCCCTGCCAGCCCACCCGGGAGCCGCCGAGCTTCTGATCCACTCCCCGAGCGTGCCAGGGGGACAGTTCTCACTGGAAATGTCTTTAGACACAGATGGAACTGCAGAGCAGCAGAGCAAAATTAAAATCATCCAGTTTATCCCACGGGAGGCGGCTCTGCTCGTGCCAGCTTTGCTTCCAAGGGGTGGCTCCCGACCTCGGGCACCCTCCCGCCGGTGCTGCCCGGCGGTGACGGAGCGAGACACACCACAGAGCCCAGGGCTGCCCCGATCCGCCCAGCAGAACCGCTTTCAGAAGCAACACCGCACTCCATTTCCTGTGGATCTGCAGTATTTTCCAGGTCTCCTCAGGGAAATGTGGTGTCGAGGTGCAGCCGAGGCCCGGCTGCTCTCGGTGGGTGGGTGGGCGAGGAGCCCCGAGCGTGGGACACGCACAAAACCCCCGACGACGGGCGAGGTCGACGGGGAGCCCTGGTGGGCAGCCCTGGTGGGGAGCCCTGGTGGGCAGCCCTGGTGGGGAGCCCTGGTGGGGAGCCCTGGTGGGCAGCCCTGGTGGGGAGCCCTGGTGGGCAGCCCTGGTGGGAAGCCCTCTCCGCACGGAGCGCGCGCCACACGCTGATTACCAGGCAAAATTCCAGCAGACTCGGCGAAAAAAGGAGTTACGTGCACAGATGAACCCAGCGACTGACGAGCACAAACCATCCAGGACAATCCTTCCGTCCCGACGCCGGCGCTCAGCTGACCCGCCGCGGCTTCTGCCGACGCTGCAAAACCACGGCAGGGCTCGGGGCGGCTCCCCCGGCTCTGTTACCCCCTGCAGCTCTGCAGTTCCCCTTGTTGAAGGCAGGTACAGACATCCCAATCCCCACGACGCCGCTGGGCCTCCCGAAAGCCAAGTACAGCAACTGCAACGTGATCCTTGTTTTAGTGCCGGGCAGGAAAGTGATGTGGAGCGAGACACCCCGGGAAGAGGCTTCCCTGCCTCCCTGTGCACCAGAACGGGCAGAAAACAAAATAATTTAATCATCCAACCCCTGCATAGTTTAAAAGTACAACATATATACAGCTATAAATTAATGCTAAATAGATTATGTTTTCTTCTTCTTTTTTTCTTTCTTAGAGTTTTCTTTTGTCACCAAATCGTCCGGTTTCTCTCTCCGTTGGCAGCAGCGAAGGGTCTCCTTCTGCTTCACGGCTTCTGCAGTTAGTTTGGGTTCTTTTACACTCCATGTGTCTCTTCCAGGGGCTGTGGGATCCCAGAGCACGCTGGGGTGATGGAAGGGGAGGAGGAAGCCGGGCAAGCTGGGTTTGCTGGCCCAGTCGCTGCCCGAACGGCGGAGAGAGGCAGAGAGAAGAAAGAGGGCAGTTGTGCGTTGCTAATTCTCCAATTCCATTTTTTTAAGATAAGGTTTGATTCTTTTAAATAGTAAAGTCTGTCACCTCGGCTCAGTGCACTTCACCAAAAGTCTTCAGGCATTTCAAGAGTCTGGGAACAAAAGCGGGAGCGGTGTCAGTCTCCGGGCAACTCCCCCTTCCTTCCCCACCCCACAGCACAGGCAGCAGCTTTTCCAGGCTCTTTACAGACCACGAGGTGCAGGGAGGGAATTAAAGAAAAGCAGGTAATTAACACCAGCGTGTGGCAAAAGGAGAGGCGAAGTCATCCAAACAAGAGAATGGGAGGACCAAGATAAGAATGGATCCAAAACCAGAATACACCAAAAAAAAAAAAAAAAAGTCTGAATGGGTCCCAGAGGAATTTGCCGCTTAAAGGCCAACTTGCTTCAGATGCCAAGAAAATAAACCCCAAAACTGCAAACCAAGTCAGCTCGTGACCTAGTGTCCTGCAAGGAGTCCCTGTGAGCTGAAATGCGAGTTCCGTCACATCACCTGTACAAGCTTCATCTTTTTCTCAGAAACCCTTGTTCTCAAATAATGTTTGGGCGATAGAGGGACCTGCAGGTTTCACAGCCCACACCACCTGGTAGGCAAAATCAGCCCAGAAATTTAAGCAGAAAAAGGACTCCAAACCCTGTGCCAATTTCTTTTTCATTATTTTAGTGCAGCACGTCCAGTCTCACATCAGGGCTCTCCTTAATCCAAGCTCTCCAACACCTAAATCTTCCAGACCTACCCCCTCCTTAGCTGCTTTTATTTAGATTCCCAGTTTAACCAGTAAGTTACTTCTACAACCTGCTGGGAATTCTGGCCATTTGCTTTGCTCTCCTTAAGCGTCAGGGGAAGGCAACTGTGGGGGAAGGAACATCTGTGGGGTGGGACTCCGTTCCCTGTCATCACATTCACGTGCCAGGGATAACAGCTTTTCCAGTACAACAGGCAACAAAGCAACCAAAAAAGGGTTCATTAAAACGTGGAGGCTGGATGCCATGGCTGGTAACAAACTGCCAACCAGCCAAGGTGCTCCCAGCCTCACCCAGGGATCCCGGAGACCCAGCACTGACAGCACCAGAGAAAACAGGGACAGGGAGAGCTGAGGGTGCCAACATGCAAACTAAACCAAATCAGCATCTTGATTAAGGAGTGAAGGCTCGGTGGAGGGGGCGCTTCCCGCCCTGTGTGCATCCCAGGAGACTCGTGGAGGTCTGTGTCTCAGCCAGGGATTTAAGTGTTAAAAGCACTACGGTGGTTCCCGGGGCAGCCCCAGCTCGTACTTGTGCTGGTGCCGGGCGGGGCCGTGACTATCCGTGCAGGGAGGCCTGGACGTCTGACAGTCTGCTGCAGCTGGGGGTGCCCATCTTCTGTGCCCGCTGGTACAGGTCCGAGTCCCCGAAGTAGCGTGCCCGGTACAACAAGCCCTCCTCTGCACGGGGAGAAGCCCAGCGTTAGGAATTCCGCCCGGGATGAGACCCACTCGCCCGGCCCCGGCCCCCCCACGGGCTCTGCTGGGAACGGGAGGCACCTCCAGCGTCCAGGGCGAGGTGAAACACAGGATGAGGCTGAGGAAATGGCCCTGTGGGACAGGATGGGCGTCAGAGCTGCTGACAGCTCATCCATCCTGGGAAAGCCTCTGGAGCCCGGCGGGATCGGCCCCCAGTCCCAGGGGGCACGCAAAGGTTACCCCAGCACTGGGGCATCGGTCTCGCCTGGCACCACCCGGGCTCCAACAGCCCCTCCGGCACTCCGGGCACTGGAATCCTACCCTGGCCACAGCTGTGGCCATCCCATGCTGGGAATGGGCAGCCAGGGAAGTCAGGCTGCCCCCGGGACTCGCTGCCCTTGCCACACTGTGCTGCCAGGATGGCTGGCAGGGTCATCTGTCACACCACCCCCCCAGTCCCACATGCCCCCACAGCCCTCGGAGCAGGGCTGGGATGCACAACACCACGGGCAGCAGAGTCTTCCACACAGTCCTTGGAGAACTGAAGTATTACACACGTCCTAGAGGCCTTTTCCAACTTAAATGGTTCTATGATTCTACCTTCCCCCTCCAGTGGAAATCAGAGATACCCTGACAGGGCAGGGGACCCTCCGGGGCACAGCTCTTGTCTGACCAGTTCTACAGCAGCATTAGGAACCAAACCAAAACAAAGCCAACCCCACGTACCGGGTCTGTCATGAAGTCATGGACTGAAAAAAACCCAAGCCAGCAACACAGGAAATGTGCTGGCACCATGTTAAGGTACAGCTCTAGCACAGACCCTCCGTTCCTGACCCCCCACTCACTCTGCTGCTTCTCTTTCCAGCAGTTATTCCGGAGGTTTGCTATGTAGTCGTCCTCCACGCTCCGCTCCACGTTCTTCAGGTTCGTGCCCGTGTACTCGTCTGCAAAGTTCTCAGAGACGTAGTAGGGGACTTTCAAGTGCTCTGTGAATCTCCTGTGTATGTGACCCACAGACCTGGTCCAGGGAGAAGAGCAGAACAGTGTAGGAATTGCTCCAAGGGCACAGCAAAGCCCCCCACAGTGTGACATGATTCCAAACCGCTGGAAACATCCCTCACTCCCAACCAGCCCCAGGGAAAGGAAAAGCATTTCTGGTGGAAATGAACTGCCAACACAGGGAGAGAGAAGCTGCCAGGCCTCCAGCTCGGTAGGCAGAGCTCTGAACACAGACATAGCTCCGAGGCAGATTGCCCAGGGCCTAAACCCACTTAAAATAAAGTGTTCTCCAGGATTTTCAGCACTAATTAAATCTCTCCGCAATTTCCTCCGCTCACAAAATTAGACCTGCTCTGCACCAACCAGCACAGAGAGCACTTTCCAGAAGGAAATCTCTTCCTCCCCTGGCCCTGTTGAGGTGCATTTTAGACAAAGCCCTGACATTCCAGCAAACCTAGAGATGTTCACGGGGGCGTGTGGGAGCTGGAACGCAGGACCTGCGCCCAAACGCTGCATTGGTCAGGAACGGCTCCACCTGGAGACCTGCCCCAAGTTCCCCATAATAATAAATACCAGCTGGCTGCTGCATTTAAAAGCCAACCTGATTCTTAAGCCAGGTATAAACATTAACTTATCTGGGTCGCCCTTCAGTCTGTTATCAGGGTTTACAGGAGTGATTCAAAGACTCCTGCACGTTTCACCAAGGTCCAGCTCCTGGGGATGAGCAGTGGGTAACCAGATGGCCTGAACAGGAGCAAAAAGCGCCCCTGGGATTTTTCAAGGCAAAGGTGCAGCCTGGGAGAACCCAGCTCACTAAGTGAGCTGTGAAGGCAGAGCCCTGAGCTCCCCCAGAGTTCATACTCCTGTGTAAAATGAACTACATACAGAGTGTGCCCTCACGGGAGGAGGACTGAGGCTGGCAGAGCTACAGCAGCATGTCTGGGTGTAAAGCATGAAAATAAGGGCACAGGGAACCTGCCACCTGCAGTCAGACGTGTAATTAAGTCGGGTAAGTTCCATGAGGTGTTACTGAAGAGCAGGGTGGCACAGTCAGGCCCACAGCCAGGCAGCTCTTCCAGCAGGAAGCTGCTTTTTTGGAAGAGATTTACAAAGGTCACGGAGTGACAAATGGTTCTTTAGGACTCTGCCCTCCTCAGTGACGGCTTCACTACGGAGAAGTGGCATTAAAATCACCGGGTTCGACGCTTCTGTCCTCCTGCTCGCCGAGCTCAGGCACACATTTCCCTTCTCAGCACAGCACAAGCTGCTGTGAGCGGTCCAGCAGCTCCTCCTGCCGGCACGGCACCGCCTCGTCCCAGCTGAACTGCCCTGGTCGCGCAGGAAGGAGGGAGGACTGATCAGCCCATGTGCTTCCCTTGTCCAAATCCAGACTCGGAAACTGGGTTGCTTGCTGCTACCCCAGCATGCAGAGACAGGGACAGCACAGGGAACAGAGTAGCAGAGAAACATCTGGGGCTCAGGGATGGCTTTCCTCTGGCAGCTGGCAAGGCTGGAAGCAAATCCCTGCCCAACTTCAAAACTGCCCTCCCCTGAGGTGTCTTCTCACCCCACAAACTCTTCACCAGTACAATCCAAACTGGTATACATGTAATTGCTTAATCTTACAGTCCCGATACCAAGTGTAGAAATCACAGCTCAACCCTCTCAGAACAACCCTTAACTGTGCCAAAGCCACGCCATCTTTTGGTTCCAAGCACTAATGTCACAGTCTTTACCCTGAATCCGAAAGCTAAGCTGGGTTTTATAGTATTTAACATCATGCCCCACCCCTGGAAGTGTTCAAGACCACAAAGGATGGGGCTTGGAGCAACCTGGGCTAGTGGAAGGTGTCCCTGCCCATGGCCAGGGGTGGAACAACATAATTTTAAGGTCCCTTCCAACCCAAACCCTTCTGGGATTCTGTGATCAATGGCAAACGTTGCTACCTGTGAAACCAAGCAGGAACCCTGGGCTGTAACCAAGTCTGCCCTCTTTAAATACACATAAGGAACTTCCACTGAACATACATTAAGTTTTTGCAAAGGATGATGCAAGCAGCCAGAAATCAGGCCTGTTTTCCCACTCTCTGCTGTCACTGCAAAGTGACTAAGAGGAAAGATTCATTCCATTTGTCAGCCAAGTGAGCAGATGGGGCATTTCCACAGGATCTAGAACGAAACAGTTTCACTTTTGCATTGTAAATGCCTGGCCACTATTTCATGGCAAGATAAGAGTTCAAAACCAGGGCATTTCTCTGGGAGTGTCTTTTACTGTACAGGAGTGCCTTTTATTCCTTCTTCTCTTCCTCTGCTGCTTTGTACTAGGTATAAACTGAGGCTTTCATGAAGAACAGATCTGGTTTTTGCTTTTCACTGCCCAATTTAACTCTACACCTCAATTTGTTCTCCATATGGGATCTTGGTGCCAGGCTGGAGCCTCCCAAAACCATTTTGCCTGTCCCTTTCCAGGAGGACACAGCCAGCTGTGGGTAAGGGCTGTAGAAGGTCCCTGTCAAAGAACTCCCTTCCCTTAGGGAAGTGAGAAACCTTCTCTGCCCCTTCCATTTCACACCTGTTTGAGAACCAGGAGGCCTACACTGCTGTGTGGGACAGCTGGCAGCAAGAGCAAGGGGTCAGGAGAGAAAGCAACAAACCAAAGGAAAACAGGGAAAACAGAGAGTGGAGATCCCTGCCCTCCCACACCCCTCCCCAACAGGTACTGACGGCCTCTGGCTCAGACTGTAGGGTGGGCTGGAGACCATCATCTGGCTGAGAGCAGACACAATGATCAGGATGAGGATGGGCATCAGCTGGACAAACAGCCCCAGGCCACCCTGTGGGAACAGAAACACGCAGGGCAGTGCCAATCCACACCCCTGTGCCCCAGGATCCAGTGCAGTGCCAATCCACACCCCTGTGCCCCAGGATCCAGTGCAGTGCAGGATCCAGTGCAGTGCCAATCCACACCCCTGTGCCCCAGGATCCAGTGCAGTGCCAATCCACACCCCTGTGCCCCAGGATCCAGTGCAGTGCCAATCCACACCCCTGTGCCCCAGGATCCAGTGCAGTGCCAATCCACACCCCTGTGCCCCAGGATCCAGTGCAGTGCCAATCCATGCCCCTGTGCCCCAGGATCCCGTAGCACTGCTCTCCCTCCCTCCCAGTGCTCAGACACAACCTCCACTCTCCTGCTTCTCACAGGCATTTGTCTCAGGAGTAACTCAGAATAACTGGGGGGAACCCAGCAGCACACTGGGCACTGTGACTGAAGGTCCAAAGCCACTGGATGTGACAAAGGGCAGAGGGGACTGGCAGGAGGAACCTTGTGAGGGAATTCCAGAAGCCTCACGCCCATATTTTGTTTTTCTAGAGTTTTTGCTAGAGAGCAGGACTGGTTTTATGGAAAGCCTTCTCCCCTTTTCAGTGGTGGATGAAAGCAATTCCCCCTCTCCCTCACCTCCCGAGCTCTCTCCAGTTCCAGCAGTGTACATCTCCCCTTTAAGCTTGGGAAAGAAATATTCAGGAAGTTCTTGTTTGTTTGTTTTTTAAAAATAAAACTGGCTATCCCCAGAAAACCCTGACTCCAGCTTTCTCCTCACACAGAGGGCAGCACCATTTCCCAAGCCAGCCACAGCAAACAGCTCCCAGTTCACATGTTGGGAACACCTTTACCCTCCCAGCCCCTGGTTTGTTGTCCACTTACATCCCCCTGGTGCTCCCTCCTGTCCTGCCTCTGGTGGTAGGTGTATCTCATCCTGCCATTGCTGTACACGTGAACGTTACCTGCAGGCAAAGACAACTGTTACACCAAAGTCACAGCGTGGAGGGTGGTGCTGGCTGGCCAGGAGGGAACCACAAAAGGTGGCCATGATCCATGGCACTTGCCGAAACAGGAGCATTCCTGAGGTGTACTGAGTGCAAACAGAGCGGGCACAGGGGTACTTCTGTCAGATTTTGCAGGATCATATGAAAATTCAGGTTGGTGGTGACCTCAGGAGGTCCAACCTCCTGCTCAAAGCAGGGTCAGCTACACAGAGGGAGTACCTTGTACAGGCTTCCTCTCTTCTGACTGAACTGCCTTTAGATTAAACCTAATTACAAACAGAAATAATTCTGGTATTTTTCCACCCTGAAAACAAAGCTCATCCATGTCTTGTTTTAAATATCAAAGCTACAGCTGCAGAGGGAGCCTGGCTGAGAGAGCAGCCCTGGACTCCCTTGGGACAGTGAGGAGAGGGAAAAAAAGACTGAGCCAAAATAGCAATGTGCTGGTTTTGCTGGAGTAGCTTGGCCTCTCTGCCAGGCAGAACACCAATGCTGCAAAAGGCTCCCAGATGCCTGTCACTGGTGTTGGTGTGTTAATTCCCACACACTGGGCAGGAGAGAGCTACCAGAGTAAATCTTCTTCACTGAAACCAAATTATTTCTTTTTTAAGTTGGTCCACAGAGGTCAGATAACCCTTGTCTCCACTGCCAGTCAGATATGACCAGAGCAAGGACAAGGGAGTCTTCCAAAAGAAAACCCTTGTCCTGATGTGAAGTCTGTGTCTTCCTGACTGGAACTGAGCAAGTGAAGGAACAGGCACTCAGTTCTTTTCTGCTGTCCAAGCCATGATGAGTATTGTGGATAGACAGGATGCAGACTTCATTCTCAGTTCAAGAGGTTTAAACTGTGCTGTAGAAATACACTTTCCTTTTATGGGACATGGGGGAGAGCAGGAAGTGGCCAGTGATCTCACAGAAGCTGCTCCAGCTGCGTGGCAGAGCAGATAGAGATCGGGAGCAAGGCCCAGGGTTTGCTCTGATAAGAAGATTTAACTTCTCAAACCACCAGGCAGAAAAGCCTTCCTCAAAACAGGATTATTTTTACAACAAGCCTTAAAACAAGTAATTTTTTGTTCTAACATCCAACCCAAGCCAACAGCAGCTAATGCTGCCAGCCATGCAAACAAACACCTGAAGCTGGGAAGAAGTCCAGCTCTCATGGTATTTCCTGCTGGACGCCGAGTTCTCCAAGTACCCACCTGAACAACTCAAAAACCTCGAGGTGTTCAGGTCGTGCCTGAAGGAGAACCCTCTCCCATCGAGCTCAGCAATCCCTGCACGGCCAAACAAATCCCTACTGCGCTGTCACTCCGCCAAAGCATCGCGTCCCGCTCAAGAGACTAAGGTTTAAGGTGCTTACTAGAGGGAAAACCACCACCAAAAAACATGTTGAAGAGGTCCTCGGGGGAGATGTCGGCCTCGAACCCGCGGTGGAAGTCCGAGTGGCTGTGCCCATGCCGGGCAGGGTTGAGTTTCTCATCTCCAAACTGGTCATACTGCTTCCTCTTCTCCGGGTTGCTCAACACCGCGTACGCGTTCCCGATGGCTGCAACGGGGACAATAAGGAAGCAATTAGCTTCTCTCTCCTGCACGTGATACGTTCAGCCCTGCACACTGCCAGGACTTGCCTTTCTCCTCACACAAATGAGATTCTCAGCTACCCATGTCTTTTCAACGGGCTACTGGTGACCTGGCACACGGCGCTGGCAAAGGCAGACAGGAGGAAGTCACACCAAGAGACTCGATGAAAAATCCCTTAATTGATTTGAATAAAGGAGTTATGATATGACTGATATGAATTTGGTGCATGTCCTTAGGGAAACCCTTCAGCTGTAACCAACTGTTACAGGGAAATAAAACTGCAGTTGACAAATTTTATCCAAACGTGGCATTAGGGGAATTCATTGTCGGAGCACGAAACCAGAACTGCAAACAATCTAAATATGGGCCAGATCACTGAAAGAGACTTTAAAACTTTCCATGAAAGCTGGTAGGGAAACATTAGCTAGAAGTTGTGTCTGTCAGCTGTGAATTTCAAGATTTCCAGATGCCAGACGTAAGGTGCATAATTACAAGGACTGTTAACCAGTGCCTGTGACGGTGGAAATGAACTGGAACTGAAGTCCTGCCAGTTCCCAGAGTTTCTCTCCTTCCAGCCTCGGCAGTTTGAGCCCTTCTCCCAGAACACCTGCCTGCCACCCTCCTATTTCTGTGCTTCCCCCTCGACATGTTCCAGTTTCCCACCTCCCCTCTGCACCAACCCACCCGAGAGCCTCCCTGTGTCGCAAGGAGCCAAAGTGCCCGTGGCAGCGACTGCCTGGTGTGTGAAAGACAGGAGCAGAAGGGATAGAAAAGGGAGATTCATGCCCTTTTGGAGGAGATCAACTCCAAGATTCAACATTTTCCCCATGGTCAGATGGAGGTGTATGGTTTCCTCTTGGACTAGAGACTGGGAGTGTGGAGGATGTAATGTCAATACACTCCTTCTCCTTCTTGGTTATAATTAGTGCACACAGAGCAAACAATTCCAGAGCCAGGCAGGGAAGCTGGTGGACAAGGAGTGACTCAGAGTGTATGAACCACACAGCTTGAAAGAACCAGCCAAGCAATGAGAACAGAGCGCTGTAGGGTTTGTTCACTGTCTGACTTTGTGCTGACAAAGCCAAGAAACTCCTCATTCCAGATTAGGATTTTAGCTCCTAGTAACCAGGTTCATTTCTTTTTTTCCAGCATCAGACAGGCAGTGATGCAAATCTGCCACAGGTCAGGCTGCAGCAAACTGCAACTATAAACTGAGACACGGGCTCAGGACAAGACACTTTATCAGCAGCCACAGGGGAGGTGACTGCCAAGACTTCAGGTAATACATCAACGTAAGAAAAAATTAACTAATACCCTCACTGCAGTGCAGGCTCCCCCTTCACCCTCTGGAACCAAACAGCTGGAGTTCAGCAAGCTGGGAGCTCAGCTTGGGGGCTGAAGGACAGGGAGCCAAGGAGGCAAGGCCTGGAGGAGATAACTCACGAGCAGAGAGCTCTGCAGCAGGGGATAAAGGGCACCTTGCTTAACACACCACTTCTGGCACGTAACTCTTGTCAGAGCCCTCTGCAAACATCATTATTGGAGATTACAGGTGAGGAAACCTGCCTTTTGCCAAAGCAGGGATCCAAGGATGAGCCACTGAGCAGCAGCTCTGCACATGCAGAGCTGTACCTGTCTGCAGATGCTCCTTCATCTGCCCCCCACACCACACAGGCTCTCCCAAGTAGCTGGGGGGCAGCTCACTGTTTGCTAACACTTATCAGGTAAGGATTTAAGTCTTAAAAGACTTGAACAAACCTTACATAAGACTTTTACTGCTGAATTCATGTCTGCAAGGAGCTCACCCCAACACTGTATCAGTACACTCACACCAGGCCAGCCCTGCTCCCTGCTCCAGCAGAAGCCTCATGCATTTCACTCCCCAAATCCCAGAATGGTTTGGGTTGGAAGGGACCTTAAAGACCACCTAGTCCAGCCTCCCTGCCATGGGCAGGGACACCTTCCACTAGCCCAGGTTGCTCCAAGCCCCATCCAACCTGGCCTTGGACACTTCCAGGGATGGGGTAGCCACAGTTTCTTTGGGCAACCTGTGCCAGGGCCTTACATCCCTCACAGGGGAGAATTCCTTCCTAGAAAATGGCCAGAATCAGACCACTTTTGTGGCTTTAACACCACAAAACCAGTGCTGCACAGCTGGTATCAGAGGGTTCCACATTTAGCTCAACAATAAGAATCAAACTTGCACAGCTTGCAGGGGGAAATGGGGTTATGTGTTCCAAGCACTGGACATGTTCCACGTCTTGGAAAATTACTCCAGTTTTAAGGTATCTTATTACCCAGGAAACATTCCTGCTGCATTTGCAGAGAGGCCCTGAGAACGGGGCTCTTTGCAGCAGAACTGGAGCTCCTGGTGACCTTTTTTGAGTTCTGGCTGGGCTCAGTTACACCCCAGAAACTTCCACATGGGATTCCTATCCACCAATTCCATCCACAGCCTTTCACAATGGTCAGGTGCTTCCTAGAATGTTTCTCTCAAGGGGTTCATGGGCCAAAGAGCTGCTTCTTGTGCTGCACAACTCACTGGGTCTCTCCTGGGTTTGCCAGTAGACAGGGGTGCACCCAGAACCTGCAGGACTTGGGGCTTCTCCCTGTTAAGTGAACACTCCTGCAACTCTCCAAAAAACCAGGATGGTTCCCATCCTGAGGGAATTCCCTTCTGAGCAGCATGGCAGGAGGCTGGAGCAACACACAGGAAGGGCTGCTGGGAGAAAGGGAAGGAAGGCTGCTCCTTGTCCCACTGGCAGAGACGAATCCCACCCACACCAACCTGTGCTTATTATTTTAAGCTTATACTTCGTTCATGATCCAGCCGGCTCCGAAGAGAGACAACTTCACAAAGAGCAGCTTGACTTCACTCCACCTGACCCGAGAGGTTGTTTTTAGGAGCTGTCACTAGCCCAGCTCGGTGCCACTGCCTGACAGTCGGGGGCAGATCCCAAATCTGGAGCCGCCTTTACCTTTGAAGGCCTCGGTGGCCCCCGGCGCGTGGTTCTTGTCCGGGTGGAACTTGAGGGCCAGTTTCCGGTAGGCCTTTTTCAGGTCCTCGTCAGAAGCTTCTCTGTTCACTCCCAGAATTTCGTAGTAGTCTTTGCACTGCTTTACCCTGTCAGAGGAGAGGGGAGAAAACGGGGAGTCTGAGGAGTGCAAACCCCTCTGCCCTGAACACGTGGGCTCCGTGACACCTCACACCTCAGCCTCGGCGGCGTCGCGCGGGGCCCTCGCGGTGACTCAGCCCTCACGGGGTGACCCAGCTGCTTTCACCGACTCATTCCGGGTGTGACAAACACTCCCACGGAACGAGTCGGGCCAGTAGAGGTGGAAGGGCCTCTCCTCAGGCCGGGATATCACCGGCAGAGGAATGGAACTGGCAAATAAACCTCACACTCGTCACTCTCACGTTTCGGAGGCTCTTTGGGAGGGACTACGGGATCTGGGGGATATCTGGGCTTAATGGAATTTTCCCCTTCCTCTCTCCTCAGCTAATTCACAGACCTAAAACTAAGAGCTGAATTCCAGAGGAGGAAGGAGGGAGCTGCCCAGGGTGTGCAGTCCAATTCCTCCTGGGCACACTCAGAGCCCAGCCATGGTTTCTGCTTCTCACGTGACTCATCTGAGACAGAATCCAGCAGGCCGGGTTTTTGGAGAAGTGGATGATGTAAGAAACCTCCCTGCAAGTCCCTTAGAGTGGTTCTTGTGCAACTCAGGCCATGCCCATAACCTCAAACAACATTTACCAAGTGACTGTGCCTGGGGATCAGTCCTTCAGCTTCCAGGATGTGCAAATGGTAGAAAGGAATAAAGGAAAGCTTGAAACAGGGTTTGGAAAACGGGCAGACTCAACTCAGCTGCCTCCCAGGGCTGCTGGAACTATAAATCCTCCTGGGTGTGCTTTTAACACCACTCCACGTGGTTTCTGAGCTGGAATCTTTAGAACACTGTGAAAACCAGAGCGGTGCCACACGACAGAGTCAAACAAACTGCCCCAGAGGGCTGCTCACACACCTCTTCACTGCATCCACCTGGTCCTGAGTGTAGCCCTTGGGGGCCTCCCCTCCGGCCTCCCCGTTGGCTGACGGGAAGTCCCCGCTCATTTTCCTGAAGGGGGGGTTTGTGGACTCCCTGGACTGGGACTGGCCATTGGCCGACTGCTCGCCCTTGTTCAGTGACTCCAGCAGGACTGGAACGAGAGAAAGGTAAAGAATAAAGAGGTTAAGAGACCATCAAGCTCAATCTGCCCCTCCAGCTCGACCATGAAGAGACCCCTCTTCATCTCTGCCACTGCTCCAAGACCCCTCACCTTCCTCAGGAAGACCCCAACCCTTCCACCCAAGGGACCCTCCAGCTCCTGCTGCTTCTTGCCCAGATGTGAGGGCTAGTGCTGAAGAGATTCCCTGCTTTTCCCAAAGCACACCGCCTCCATTAAAACCCCAGGACTACCCAACCAGACAGCCCAGGAGCCACAGTGGATCACCAAAGTGGTGCATCCTTGTCCTTTTTCCCCCCCTACATCTCTCCTCAGCAGCAAAGCATGCCCAAATTTGTCCTCTAGCATATTACAAAGCGTATTACTCTTCTTTATCTCCTCCTTTTGAGAGTCTGCTGCGCTGGGGAAGTGATGTGACAATGCTGTATCTTTAGAGAGCTTGGAGAATGATTCCGTGGGATGCCAATCCCACAGGGACACTCCCCCTTTCTGGGGACAGAACTGCAGCACTGGTGGCTGCCAGCACGACAGGCCCCGTCACACCAGTCACACTTTGTTCTCCTCTCTTACCCACATACCAGGAGCAGCTGTGAAAACCATTTTCTCTCTTAATTACTGAATAGGAGTTGCAGAAATTCACTTTCCCCTTGCTTTTCCTCCTCACAAGGCTCGGGCACTGCCCTCCATCCTCTTCAGCCAACAGGGGACAAACACCCAGGCCTGGCCTAACCACACAGGAGACACAACCGAGGAGACTCCAAGCATGGAATACCTTTCCATCATCCCTGGCAGCTGGATAGCCACTATTTTTTAAATCTGACTGATTTCTTCATCAAAAAGAACAGGCACATGTACTATGATTAAACCCAGACATATTATTTACAGAAGCCTCAGTATCCTGAGCTTGCAGTCCTTTATCCACAGCCCAGAACTGAGAAGGATGTTCCACCTCCTCCCATGGATTGCACACTACAGACCTTGCACTATGAGGGTATCACCTCTTAAAGCCAGTGTAAACAATGCTTGCAGGCCAAGAGATGAGCCAAGATAGCCAAGATATCCTATCTGCCCCCAGAGCTTGGAGGGGCAAGAAAAATCCACTCTGTAATCCAAGAGCCAACAAGGGATGAGGGATAAAAATGACAGTGGGGTAACGAGCAGTAACTCAGTGGGTGAGCTTTTGAGCTTGGGGGGGTTTCACTAATGTAAAAAAAATTTATTTCAGAAAAATAAATCCTTCCCTCCCTCATATTCACACCACTCCAGTGTTCACAGAATCACAGGCTTGGCTTTTGCTCCTTCCAAACCTGGAGCTTTTAAATTTCCCCTCACAAGGCTGTTCCCCCCCACCCCCTGCTCCTGCTGCTTTGGGCTCAGTTCCCCACAGCTTGCCAAGAGAATTTTAGAATCACAGAATGGTCTGGGTTGGAAAGGACCCTAAGGATCATCCCATTCCACCCCCTGCCATGGGCAGGGACACCTCCCACTAGCCCAGGTTGCTCCAAGCCCTGTCCAACCTGGCCTTGGACACTTCCAGGGATGGGGCAGCCTGTGCCAGGGCCTCACCTCCCTCACAATGAAGAATTTCTTCCCAGTATCCCACCTAAGCCCACTGTCTGTCAGTGGGGAGCCCCTGGGACCAGCCCAGCACTCAGGGGTTCTGTGTCCCAGCACACACGGCTGGGGCACGCTGAGCTTGTCATCAACCCCACCCCAAAGTGCACTTCCCAAATCCAACCACAGAAATCCATGGATGGCCACAGCACAGCTCCATTTGGCTCTGCAGCCCCGATCCTATTGCTTCTGCACCCCAAAGCCACGCTGGTGCCCCGTGCAGCCCCAGCACAGCCCAAATCCACGGGCTCCTGGGGCAGACAGAGCTGAATTAGTTTTCAGTTCTGCCACCTCAGCTCCACTTTTCCTCGCTTATCAGCCAACATCTGTCCAACAAAACTTCCCCAACTCCCACTCTGAGGTGACTGGGGCTGCGCTGACACAGAGGGTTTTTGCTGAAATCCCCTTGCAAAACCCTCCCCTGGCCCCGTGACGACACCAAAGGCCCAGCTGGGGTCAGGGTTTGCAGCTGCACAAGGGCCACGTCGCTGAGTGTTGCCAAACCCCCTGGAACTCGTGGGAAAGAGACTTCCCAGGAGCTCTGGAGACTCAGTGACCTCCATGGAACCGCAGGATGTACGGCAGCATTTCCCAACTCCAGACACAAAGGGTCCTTGGATGTGAGACTTGGTTGGGGCTGGCCACAAACTACCATGTTGTGTTTAACATTAACCTGCCCCTGCTGCCCCCCCTCGGCCTCTGCCTTCCTCCAAAAGTCACTTTTCCTACGCAGTAATTTCACAGAAGTATAAATTCGGAGGAAAGGGAGGGCAGGAAAACCATGCTGCACTCACAACAGGCTGACACACCATGTCTGGGGGAGCAGGAAGAGGCTGGAGCAGCCACAAGGAGCATTACAGGAAGCCCTGGGACACACAGGCTGCAAAGCTCAGCCAAAGAATCCAAACTCAGATGAGATCAAAGTGAAAAAAAAACCAAAACCCAGGGCCCTTTGTATAAATTTCCGCAACGTCAGAACAGGCAGGGAAAGGATTGTGTTTGGCTGCTTCCAAAGACCACTTCCCACGTTCACTAAAGCTTCCAGGAAGTGAGATCCTTCCTCAAAACTCCGAAGGCCTTCAAGGAGGAGGATTATTCTGTTCCACGTATGAGGGTATGAGCTCAGCATGGCCTGTCTGTCTGGGAACGGTGGGAAACTGCTGGAGGAGGAACGGGAGAGGGAGAGGAGGAATAGGAGAGGGAGAGGAGGAGGAATATGACGAGGAAAGTAGGAGGAACAGGAGAAGGAACAAGAGAGGGAGAGAAGAATAAGAGGAAGAGATGAGGAGGAATAAGAGGGGGAGAAGAGGAATAAGAGAGGGAGGGGAGGAATAAGAGGAGGGCAGGAAGAGGGGGAAGAGAGGAATAGGAGGAGAGGAATAGGAGAGGGAAAGGAGGAAGAGAAGGAAGAAAAGAGGAGTAAGAGAGGGAGGAGAGGAATGGGAGCAGGAGAGGAATAAGAGAAGGAGGAAAGGAACAGGAATAAGAAAGGAGAAATAGGAGGGGGAAAGGAGGAACATATGGAGGAGACGAATAGGAGGAGAGGAGGAGGAGAGGAATAGGAGGAGGAGAGGAATAGGAGTGGAAAAGGAGGCATAGGAGGAGCAGAAGAGAAGGAGAAGGGTGAAAGGCTTTCCGCAGCCCCCCGAGAACTTCTCTCCCGCCTTGCCAAGCCCCGCAGCGCTGCTCCCACCAGCCCGGCGTCAGGGATCCAGGGAGCTCCCGGGGTGCCCCTGCCCTCCCCGGCAGCCTCTTGCCCGGGCCCCAGCGAAGGCGAG